TAATCATAAAATATAGGTTAAGTTCTGATCTATGGATATTATGGGACTGCAGTGCCTCACTGAAGATGTTTCATAAACTGTTCACTAAGGAATTAAGACAATAAAATATGAATAAAATTAAATATGTCAGCCTTGTTCACTTTAGTAAATGCTTCAGCTCCTGAGATATTAAGTAGAAGAAAGAGGGTGACACTGTTTGCTACTGCTGTGTCATGCATGAACATAGGCCTAATTTTTCTTGCTTCTAAAACTGCTTGAGCTAAAATATTTCAGATCAATTTAAGTTACATTTTCAGCTATACACAAAAAGTATGTGTATATGCCTGTTTTTTGTTGCAGTGAAAAAACGCAATCAGAATTATCCAAAATCAGTATCGTAATATTTTTTGTTTCAGCTGCCAAATCAAACCTCAAATTTCTTCATAATCATATTCTGATTTAGTAAGTTAATCCTACCAACTTTTTCTACTTTTAAAGAATATGGATTGAGACAAAAATAACTTGCAATTTAAATTTAAACTTAGTAGAACCAAATAAGTGGCATTTATAATTTTCTTTAAATAACATGGTAAATCAGATTGAACTGTGTTCCAGCTTCAGAAAAGATGCTGTCTTTCCACATGCTATAGGTGATAATTCTAGCTAGAGAATATCCAGAGGAATAACTGTAACAGTTGCGATTAATATATTTTTGTATGTTTTCAAAGTTTCATGCAATTATTTTCCAGAGGGAACTTGTCTGTCTTTCTGTCAGCAACACTACACCAATCAATACATATACATATGCGCCTGCAATTTCTGTTTTGCCTCATGTACTGACAGATGAAGTTGCCAGCTAAGTTCTTGACATGAAAATATTTCTACTGTATTGAGTCAGAAAAAGTTAATTATGATAGTAAAAATACATATTCAATAGCAAAAGGCCAGTAGGAAGCTTTGCTTAAGAATGATTGAGTAGGAACTTGGTAAACAGTGGAGTAAAGTTTAAGCCCTGGTATTCCAGCTGAGACCTGGAGTGTACAGGACCCAATATCCTGGGTTCAGACGTATATACGTCAAGAGACAGAAGTGATGTTATATTGAAAAATGTGGGACCTGAGCATGATGTAAATGGTATGGAATAAGAGGTGGATACTGTCCTTGTTTCAGCTGTATTTTTCTCCTTCTTAGCAGCTGGTGCAGTACTGTGTTTCGGCTTTAGTCTGAGGATGAGGGTGATGTAATTCCATGATGGTCTCTCTAAAATACATGTTACTGTCAGGGTCTGCCAGGGCAGCTTGTCACAGAGTGGCAAATCAGGATATGTGTGGTTGTGTGCTTTCTGGGGGAAGGTTTGTTTGTTTCTGTGAAGATTGGCAAACAGTGTATGAGGCTGTTGCCAAGAAATAAACACACAGGTACGGGTCTGGAGTAAAGAAAGAACTGCCAGTTAGGCATAACAGAAAATGTAAAACGGAGTTAGAAGGCTAGCGTGTACTCAGAACCTGACAGAGTTGCCACTTTTATTTCTTCTTGCTGATCTTCGGTTTGAAGCAGTAGGTACTTCAAACAGTATATTTATGCTGCTAACCCAGGGAAATAAAAGATTGGACTAAAAAATTCAGAAACAGCAATCTAAGAATTTGGAACTGAACCTCTCTGTTTAAAAGTAGTAGGAACTGCTACTTGAAAGAAAAATGTTTGTAGTGAGTAGTTTCACTACATGTGGCTATGCGTGTGCATGTCCTGGGAAGGCAGGTAAGGCTTGCTAGCATAGCCAAGCTAGAGCTGGGTTAAGTGTGAACACTAGTGGGATAGAAGAAAGAAATGTTGTTTGGACTAAGTTTACATATTAGAAAATACATCTAATTTCCTCATCGCAAATGTGTTATCAGTGGTTCTCATATACTATTACTTTACTAGAATCTTTGCTTAATTACAGAAGAACTTTGGAGCAACTTTTTCTTACAAAATATTAGTGCTCTTTTGCATTAGTAACAGCAGAAATCTCCGTGTGCAAAAACGCTTCTTTCTAGGCAATACCTTCTGAATGACTGTTGCTAGAATTCTCATCACTAGCACATCATCAAGACTGTATTCTGAAAACAACAGCTTTGTAACTAAAATGCTGATCTTTCTCTATAAAAGATGTGTACAGGAGCCTATAGAAGACAGCATAACTATTATAGCAAACTCTGACAACTAATAGTTATGGCAGTTTAGACAGGCAAGAACGTAGGTATGACATGATGGAGTGATAACTTATAAATGAAAAGGCTAGAGGTCAGGGTAAGTCATGCATGCTTTCTTTCTCTCCTTCCCCATTAATACTTGGACTATATCTTCCCCTCTTGTTTACTGTAACACCTCCTGCATTTCCTATACCTTTTCCATAGCCTAAATCTTTTAATCTCCAATACCTAGCTTCATCCTCACTCTGAAAACACACTGGTAGAGTTTATCAATTTTAACTGCAAGGACTTCTCGCAAGGATTATCACACTCTATAACTCTCCTTCATTGGTATTAGTTCTCCTGGAAAATCTCTTACCAATTTTTATTTCTACATAACACAAGAAACATAAGAGTAGATGATCTTTAAGCTTCTTGGTTTGCAAAGAAAGTGCTTATGACTGAGCTCAGTCTGACTTAGATGATGACTTGCAGTTGACTCATTTTCCTTTTCTCTCACAGTTGTTTGGCAAGAGGGTATCTTTGGCTCCAAGCTATTTGGGAATTTAGTCTGTACTGCTTATGTCAGACCCATAGTAAGTACGCTGCAGTTTGAACATACCAAAGTTGGTGTTCAGTGGGCTTGTAGTGAAATGCATAAAGCATTGTGCACATACTTAGGAAGAACTTAGGACAACTGAGAAGATGACACTGCAAATTTAGTTTCTGTGGTATTTTTTCTGTAAAGAAAGGGAACTGGATATACATTCTGTGCAGGAATGGGTATATATAGTTTGTTGAATAGGTACAACTGAATGTACATTTTAACTATATTTCTGCATTAAAAAATTATTCAGAAAATTAACACAAAGTATTTGTCCTGGGTTCAACTACAGCAGTCATTTTTTTCTCCTTCTTAGTAGCTGGTGCAGTGCTGTGGTTTTGACTTTCAGTCTGGGAACAACGCTGATAACACCGATGTTTTCAGTTGTTGCTAAGTAATGTTTACTCTGACCAAGGACTTCTCTCAGTCTCATGCTCTGCCAGGGAGGAGGGGAAGCCAGGAGGAAGCAGAGACAGGACACCTGACCCAAACTGGCCAAAGGGGTATTCCATACCACAGCACGTCATGCCCAGTATATAAACTGGGGGGAGTTACCCGGAAGGCCAGATTGCTGCTCGGGTCGGGCTGGGTATCGGTCGGCGGGTGGTGGGTGGTTGGGTCCTCTCCCCCTGTTATTTCCCTTAGCATTATTATCGGTAGCAGTAGTGGTTTGTATTGTACCTTAGTTACTGGAGTGCTGTTATCTCAACCCTGCGGGAGCAGGGGAAAGAAGAAAGGGAGGAGAGTGAGCCAGCAGCTGCATAGTTCTGAGTTACCAGCTGGGCTTAAACCATGACAGGATTCTTTATTCTATGTAAATAATTTCCTTAATAGAATTTCCTATTGTTATTTTAAATACTAAACCACCTGATATATGCAGCAGTTACTTAAAGTTTAAGCAGCTTTAAAAGTCTTCAGATTTGTAGAGGTGGTTTGCTAAACCTAAAAAATGCAGTGCAATTCGTACATGCTTCTTCACTAATTAATTCTGTTTTTGTGGGATTCATTTCAGACTGTTTATGACATATGAGAGTCATATGAGAAAATGTAGGTCTTACCTATGACTACCATCACATTTCACAATCCATCACCTCTAAGACTTTTGTGCTAAATGTGATCTCCTGCACCTCCAAGCTAGCATGGAAGTAGATGGGGCAGCTTTGCCTTTTTGCAGGCATCCGTATCATCTGTCCTTCCTTAGCTTTCTGAAGTCTATGGCACCCATATCTAGTTACACAGCAGATGGGGGAAAAACCCCCTCTCAGTTCTTTTGTCATGTAGGTTGTTACAGTTCCTTCAGAATACAAATTAGTTGACCAAGGAAAGATGTTATCTGACCAGCCAAAGTGCTATTAGTTTAATGAAAGGAGGAAAAAAGGAAGAGTTACCCAGATCACAGAAGAATGAAATATGGATGTGAGAAAACATCCTTGGTGTCGAACCTCTCTGAGATCTATTCCATTTGTTCATTACCAGCCTGGCTCCTGTCTCATCTGGGACTACCTCATCTCTTTTCTCAAACATTTCCACACCCAATAAGGCCTTCTCTGCTCCCCTCTTCCATTTCTTGATCTATTCTGCCTTTGCCCAGATACTTGCATGTGCAAATTATTTTATTCTGAAAACCATTCTGTACACCAGTTAAGAATTTTCAGAAGGTGCTATCACATATTCTTGTCCTCAGGCAGAATATATAACATCTGATTGAAGTAGAACATTGTAAATTTAAGGCTGAAATCTTGTCCTCACGCAGCTGCATGGTAAGTGACATTTACTGCAAGGGTCACATGTCTGCATGTAGACTAAGCAGTCTGACTATGATACATGTGGCAGCCTTTATCTCATCCTTATTCAGATCAAATCCAAGGCACAAAAAAAAGCTGGGCCTGTCGCAACCTTGCCTTTAGCCTTGGTAAGACATGAGGGTATGTGAAGGTTACTTAGGCAGGCCCTGGGGACTGGAAGGCTGCATGAGTCCCTTGCTTTAGAAAACATTTAAACTGAATGTACTTATGCTATACATAAAATCTCTATTTTTTGTAATATATCTTGCTAACATGTACTCTCATTTCCTCTAGGACTGTGCAAAGGTAGATCTGTCCTGTTACTTAGAATCTTGCAAGTCTTATATAAAAGGCTGGAATTTTGTCTCTTTATTTATACAAATGAAGCTAAATTTATATTTAAGTGTATTCCTCCTCCTTTACACATATATGATTTCCAGAAAAGGTCTGCTGTATACTTACTCTTGTATTGTTTCTTTCAGCTTTCAGTTCTGAAATCTCCTCCTCTTTTTCAAGCAGCTGTTCTCTGCATGCGTTTAATTCTTTTGTCAGTGCAGCAAATTCCTGTGGAATAAAATTATATATGAAGTTACTCAAGACGTAAGCGTTAGAATAATCAAATCCATATGCATTCTAGAGTGTGAGGATTTAAATGATATTTAGGAATCATCAACACAAACTAAAATGGCATATATAAACATCAGTATCTACCAAAACCATTTAAAGTGTGGGCATATGTAATAAAAAGTGCCTATGGAAAACACTGATTTAAGTTTAGAAACCAAAGAAGGTTCAAGATGGTGGCAACATCCCCCATATAAGAAGCTATCAGAATCACACCAGAACAGGAACAGAACTGGCCTATTTCATAGCAACAGAGACACTACATTTTACACATAATAAGATTCAGCTCAACATATCCGCTTCATGTGTGAACTTGCCTCTCTGTAAGGCAGCTGTTGTAATATGGCATGGGAGAAAAAAGTTAAGGTATTCACTGATCAAAATCTACCTAATACCAGCTTAACACAATTAATATGTATTTTTGTGAGGAAAAAACCCACCACCCAAAACAAAAAAACAAACAAACAAAACAAAAACAAGCATACAAAAAAAAAACCCAACAAGAAAAAAACCAAAACCAAGCATCAAACCTGTTATTTTACTTGATATTTGAATTTAACTATTAAAATGTATTTGGGCATTATAGTGAAAGGCTGTGATGAGGCAGAACACTATTCACGTTCACTAGTGCAGCGTCAGTTTCCTATGAAATAATAACAAAAAATGAAACTGTACTGTAATAACTTGCTCCTGACATTAAATTTTGTATATGCAATCAACAGGTTTTCTGAAAAACATATTTTTCATTATCAAAATTCCTAGTAAGTCTCTTCAATTTATTACTGCTGTTACTCCCAAGATTACACATAGATTTTTGTCTGTAGAAAGTGCAGTCACATAGTTGTCATTCCTTTCAATAATGAAAAGGTTTCACTTCATATGTGTTAGTTTCTGACAGGCAAGGCATATACTAAACTGCAGTGGCTGTTTTTATTCTGTACAGCAAAAAAGATGCTACATTTCTCATGAAAACAATGGATGAAAAGCTGTTAAAATTTGTGATCATTTGTCAGGAAAAAAAATATGTCTTGATGAACGACATCGCTGCTTAACAAGATTTATGCATATTTTTAAATATTAATTTTAGTTGGAGCAAAATAGTCAGTGCACCCACAAGCCGCCAGGGTTAAATTGCAGTCATTCCAATTCCTTCCTTCCCCCTCAAAGAAAGCAGTTTAAGAAAAAAACATGTCCAGGTGGTTTATCTTATCAGCCAGTAGGATGAAGCTGAGACTAAATCTACTTATTTAAGACAAAAGCCAGCAGTGAGCTCAAAAGGGCTGGGTTTGCTGCTTCCCCTTGAGTTGCTGAAAGCAGCTTTTATCTGAACTAAAGTGCTGTTCAAGAAATGCTGAGTAGGTATTCCTAGGCTCTTTTTTTTTAAATCAAGTTTCTAAATAGCTTATGGTATATGGTATTATTAATAATATATTTTAAAGTATTCAGATAGGTTTCAAGAGATATGCTGACAATGTGTAACTAAGGGTTTTGTTTCATTTTTCAATAGCTGGAACTAGATTCACAGTAAATCTCCATGCAAATTACATGTAAGGAAAGCGTTCTGATATCCTCAGTGATTTCTGTTTTAGAGATCAGCTATTGATCATATGAACCACGTAGCAATGTTTCATGTCATAACTCCTAATCAGTATTTTTATTTTACATCTTAGTGATGAAGAACTTCTAGGCTACACAGCATACTTTGATGTTAAAGCCCTTAACTTAGTTTTGAAAATGAGACTTAAATTTTAAACCTCTTCTCTCACTTCCCAGTAGTATCATTAGAACTTCTGCTTGTAGGTCTTAGTCTAGGATTCAGAAACTGGCAGTTCAGAAGTGTTATTCTGTCCAGAAATTTGCTCAAAAAACTTGTCATTAAGATAAAAACTAATGTTACATACCAATGAAAATACTGTATTTAATAGAAAGCCAATTATCTTAATTCAGATTGAATTGGAATTTTGAAGCACAAAAGTGTACACACACTATTTTTTTCCCTTCATATTCCTATAAGAGGAACTTTATAGGGCTACAGGGTGGAACTCTTGTTACTAATTTACATAAAGTTTATACACATGGATAAATGTCTATAGTACTTTCAGAATCTCACAGAATAAACCTTCTGTGTAATCTATGTAGTACATTGTTGTTATTTACTTTTTCTTATTTCTTTGTATTGTTTCAGTTGGAAATGAAATAGACATTTTGGAATACGCTTGGGCATCCAGATGGGTGATAAGTGGTGAAAAGGATAACAAGTATCATCTGGTGATTCCCAGTTCCATTTCTTAAGTACAGTAAGACAAACCAGTCCGATAACATGCTTTGGTTGATTTCCTTGGAAACAGAAAAATGTATTAGTTTATCAAACTGTATATTCTTTGCTGTGCCAAGGCAAGCCTGCTACCAGCAAGACAGTCCCTAATTCTTTGGTCAACACAATCTTAGATAAGGAATGGAGTTCCTACTGCTTTGCTGAGTAGCATGGAGATAATTCTTAGGGAAATCTTGTTTGGTCATCAGCGTTTCCCCTTGCTTAAACCCAAATCATTTGTCCTGGGTTCAGCTATAGCAGTCAT